CTCCGAGGCAACGTCGAGCTCCCCGCCGCCCAACCCCTCAAAAGCAAGGCCGCTGCCTGGACGGGGTAAGCTTTTCCCAGGGCAGAGACGGCGGCGTAAGCCATGGCGATGGCCACCTCGTTGACTTGCCAGCTCCAGAGAGCGTCGCCCAGGTCGATCAATCCACGCACCTGGGAGGGGGCTCTTGGAGCCACGATGATGTTGGCGTCGTTCCAGTCCCCCATGATCACACCCTCCCGAAAACCAGCCACGGCCCTTTCCTCCCCTGCTTGGCTTGAGTCCATCCGAAGGCCCTCCCCCCCGCCCTCCGCCACGGGGACCACCTCCCGCACGAAGGCTTCAAGGACCGAGACGACCAAGGCGCGTTTCCCGCCTTCTTCCGGGAGGTACCTGGTCCAGGGTCTTAAGGAGGCGAAATGACGCACGTCCCACATGTGTCGACGATGACTACCCGGATGGTCGAACCCCGTGAGCGCTTGCTCGATACGACTGAGGTACCGCCCTGCTGCAAGCAGGGCAGCGGCCTGGGGTGGGAGGGAGGGAGGGAGGGAGGCCGGAGGGGGGGAGGAAGGAGGAGGGAGGGGCGGGAAGGGGACGTCGACGAGGGGGGTACCCTCCACCCAATGGAAGAGACGAACGGCCAGGGGAGTGGCGGGTCCTGCCCGGACGGGGAGGGTGTGGAAGACCGTGTGGGAGGAGGCGGGGGCCATGGCTTTCTCTGTGCTGGCAGGTGTGGATGAAGGGCGTGGGGGAGGGACCGAAGGAGGAAGGGGGACAGGACGGGGGCAGGAAAGGCCAGCGGCGGTCAAACGCGCCATGGTGGCGTGCTGGAATGCCAGGACCTCAGGTGTGCGACTTTCCACGCCGTTTTGGATTTTAAGCAGGTATTTTTGGCGTTGTTGAGATGGCTCAAGCGAGGTTGGCAAAATACCGGGCTAGGGGCACGGGCATTGTGTGGATTGGGTGGGTGGCAAAGGGGATCAGTGAGCGGCAGGATGATGAGATATCCTGGGTGACGGAATGCAAATCGTTGGCTATAAGTTTTAAAATGCTTCATCGGGCACCAAGCTATGCAATGGATGGATTGAGAAAGGGAATGGAGCAGGCAGTTTTTACAGGATGAACGAAAGATCAAGAATGGGAGGGAGGAGACGAGACTATAGACATACCATGTAAAAATTACAGTCGTCGTAGGACTCAAGCGGGCGCGGTGGGTCGTCATCGTCTGCCACACGTAGTCCCCAGATCTGGTGTGCGATATGTACGGCGGTGGCTATATCCACCACTGGCTTCAGGCCCTGGAAGAATAGGGGGCAGGAGGCAAGGGTGATATTACTAGGACTGCTAGAATCTCTGTTGCAAGAAGGCATGCCCATCAATCGGCTACAACACATGCCAACAACGCACCTTCCGCCGCTCCTCATCCTCAGCTGACATGTTTTTACCCTTCCCCTGTGTAAATGGGCAATATGACGGGTGTTAGCGGAGGCGAGAGGGAGGCCAGGAGAGCAACGTGCGCTCGTCGCTGGACGGTCTTGGCGAGAAAACGTAGGGGAATACCACAGGACCTTGGGGGCCTTGGAAAAATGCCATGCTGGTGTCTTGGGTTTAGCACGGATGCCGTCGCTGGAGTCTTGGTGTGCATTCGATAAGGCTGAATTGATTCGTCCATTGCCGTTAGTAGGGAGGGACTTCAGGGGGGAGATTGGGCTGACCGCCTCCTTTCCCCTCCCTCTCTTTTCCCTGATATGAATCCCGCCACGGCTCTGGCACGACTTGTGGTGATCTTGGTAAGCCTTTCAATGACTCACATGTATGCACACTGCTCCACTATCGTTGGCGCCTAAAAGGTGTCACAGGGTGAGTTGCCCGGCCCGCCTGTGAAGAGAGCATCCCGTTCAACGGAGAGCAGCGGCATGGCCCTGAACGTGCTTTTCAATGGCCGCAAAAAGCAAATAAAATGCTCGCCCAACAGCACCATGCAGACTGCGCTCGAGGTATGTCCAAGCGGCTTGCACGTCGTCTCACCTTTTTCCATTTTGTCTCTCAGCTTCCTGTCTCCAACGTGGCTCCACCCGCTCCCTAATGCCATGATGCACCTCCTTAAATCGACAGCACGCCTGTCGAGAGCACGGCATTGGTGAGGCAGCATGGACGGGCTACATTCTACTCTACAAAAAAGGTCCCATCGATCTCTCCCAACCTTTTCGGTTCACGGGGATTCCGAACAACGCCGCGCTTGAATTGAGTGAGACGACCTCGTCCTCCCTGCCTGGACCTGGAGGCAGCAGAGGCGTGGGGCACAAGGTCCGCGTAGGCCTTCAACTTGAGGGAGGGCGGCGTCTCACAGGGAGCTTTGATCCAGAGACCTCCTTGGCCGACATCCTGGTCCAATGCTCCTCTTCGCC